CACCGGTACTCGCGTCGTCAAGTTGAAGCACAAGAGCAGCCGCTGATCCGTTCAAACGCCGCCGCAGAGGGACCATCGCACAACCGGCCATCGTCGTCCTGATCTTTTGCCGCTAAAGATCACCGTTGTGTAGGCCATTTGGCACCGGCAGGAGCTGCGATCCAGTGGAGAGACGCGCAGGAGCGAGGGTGAACACCGTTGCCGCTGCTGCCCAGAAGAACTACCGCAGGTGTCATTCTCCAATCACCGTCCAAAGCCGCCGTTTCCTGCAAAGAGGAAAAGAGAAAAAAAATTTTGGCAGGTGCATGTGAAAAAAGTAAAGGAAAGGGACTGTGAAGTTTTTTTGGGCTGTTTTGCTTTTGGGCTGATTTGATGAGTACTCCATTTTCTGGTTGATCCTTAGAGAAAATTTGGTTGTTTATGTGAACAAATTTGAGATAATCAGGCATCAGGACTATCTCTTACGGAACCAGGGCATTGGAAGTTTGATTGTCCTAAGCAGAAGATGCAGAAAAAGGATAAGATCGAGGATGCTCACGATTCTGCAACTATGGCAGAAGCTGATGATACAAACTCTGAAGAAGATCTGGTTCTATTTGTCAATAACCAAACACATTGTAAGGATGTGTGGGTTCTTGATTATGGGGCGTCGTATCATATTAGTCCATATAGGGAGTTGTTTTCAACTTATGAGCAGATAGACGAGGGTGATGTTTCCATGGCCAACGGAGTTGTCTGCAAGGTAGTTGGAATATGCTCCATCAAGTTGAGGACTCGTGATGGTACATTTTGCACCTTGAATAAAGTTCGGAATGTTCCACAGATGACGAAGAATCTGATATCCTTGACTCGTCTTGACAGTAAGGGTTTCAGTTTTGAAGGTAAAGGTGGAGTTAAGAGTGTCTACAAGGATTCGAAGGTGGTTCTGAAAGGTATTAAGTATGGTACCTTATATCTTCTATAAGGATCTGTCATTGTTGCATCATCTGAGATTCATAGAGGTGATGAAAGTCTTGATGTTGAGGTGGAGGTTCCATCTGCACGGATTGAGACTGTTGATCACCTTGAAGAATCATTTGTTTCTACGCCTCAATGAGGCAATCTGCACCCCAGGAAGGGGATCTGGCCCGTATGGGGCAATTTGAGCCCATGAAGGGCAATCTGGGCTTCAGGAGGAGTCATCTGGATACTAGGTTAGTGTCATCTGTTTCTGTTCAGGTTCCATGAAGAGTCATTTGGACTCAAGGTGGAGTTTGCATCTGTTGGTGTTTTAGCTTGAGTTATCTGTTCCCATGAATGAGGGAAATCTATTTTGGTGTGTCACAACACTTCTGAACTCAAGTGAAACAATCTGTTCATGTCTTTTTGTGACATTTGCGTCCTTGGTTGGACTTTTGGTACCTACGGTACATCTGGTCACTTCTGGAAGGAAATCTGATACATCTGCTGTCTTTTGAGGAGATTCAAGTCAAGGTGGAGATTTGTTAGAAAATGCCTTGAATCTGTATTCTAGACCTATCAGGATTAGGACTAGGAATAAGATTAGGATTATATTTTCTTAGTCTCATATTCATATATGTAGTAGGATTAGGATTACCCATATCCCCTTCCCTATATATATATGGCTTGTATTTGTACTCCTCAATACATGGTAGAGAAAATATGTAATATGGTGAGAAAATATTGATCAATAAATCTGTTTCTCTTCTGTCCGTGGAGGTTACTAACAGATTGTTAGTAAACCACGTTAAATCTTTGTCTTCTTTCGAGATTGTCGATTGTTCGTGTTCATACTTTCTCGCGTCTGTCATAACAACCTGCTTATCTCACGGAGTAGTGAGCACACACATAGAGGGTTGTACCGAATAACGAACTAGGTCAAAATGAAATATGACAGAAATGATGTTGAAACAAACATGCAACCACACATATGATTAAAGAATAAGTAAGACACACAACAGATCTGTTCACTCAGTTTTAAGCTGAATCTCTTACGTGTGCGAGGCCCACATTCGTGTAACATCCCTCCACTAGATCATAGTAAAATTTACACAAATCAAATGCAAAAATAGGATTTTATATGCCTATATTCACAAGATCAACTTTTACTCACAAACAAGTTTAGTACTATCATATAAAGATTTTCAAATCCTCAAAAGATTTTAAACACAAACAAATTAAAAAAAGGATTTGACCAAAGTTAAAATGCATTTTCAAAAGTTGTAGAACGAGTTGGTCGGGAATGCACTAACGCCAAAAGGTAATGCACTACCATGTCATGGTACCAACACTAGTGTCTCAATGGAAAGAAATTTCAAATTTGCTGATTTCACTCTAATTAAATTTAATTATCCTAAATCACCGATATATCCTCCAAACTGTCATAAATGGATGGGCACCTTTAATATGAAACAATAAATAGGGTCATACTTCTTTATATATTCTAATTATCAACCCAAACTCTCTAAACTCCATATTTTGTATTCTAAGTGTGTTCATGTTTTAGTTCTTCAGTCTTCATATTTTGACTTCCTAGGCCTTGTTGTTTTCTTTACTTTTATGCTTGCACATTGAGCTTGTGATCATATATCATACTCGTAGGTCCAATGGTTGATCTCTTTCTTTATCATAGGCCAAAAGCTGTTAAGCATTTTTCTGTGTTTTAGACACTTTTTTTCTTACTAGTTGTGATGTTCGAGGATAGCCACATAAATCATTCTTTAAAAGGTTAAGGATAGCTAAGAAATTGTTGGGAAAAATGTTCAAGGATAGTCTTTCAAATCTTCGGACGAGAAAGGTAGAAGATATATAGCCCATCTTCATTGTAGCGGTTAGAGATAGCTGCCGTGAAATCTCGGGGTGAATCTTATTGGCAAGGGTTGTTTGCCAAATCTAGTGCGGTGTACATTTTGAAAGAGTTCAACATGCCGGACTTAGTGGATTTCAATGAGTTACGTTGCCTTAGGTTACTGGAGTAAAGAGTTCTCAAACCAGTAAAAAATTGGCGAGTCATTTATTTTTATGCTTTAATTTCTATAATATTTTTATTGCTTCTGTATTTGACAACACAAATTTTATTCACTCCAGTAAAGTTTTAAACACCTTATTTGTCCACTTATAAGGCGCGGGTACATAGAATAACATTGTGTTCCCAAATTTCAGTTTAACATCAAAGGACCAAACATGTTGAGATGGATATTCCTTTTTGTACATGAGAAAGTACATGTTTGTGATATTCAAGTTTTTCATGCACCACCTTATATGCTGATATTCTTACCAAATGACTCCTCCAAATCCTCTTTCAAAGTTTTAGGTCTAGTTTGAGCATTTCTTCGACTCCTGCTCTAGTTGCGGGGGACTATTAGAATATGTATTGGTCGATAGTCTTGATTGTATTTTTAGTCAAGTGGATATTCTTAGCCGTATGGGGAAGGACTATTTATTATTTATTTCTTTATTTATATACATATTATTTACTTATTTATTTTCTTAGTTATTACTCCCTATTTTTTTTAATTTAGCTATTTACTTATCAATTTTTTATTTATATATTTATTTTAATACCAATTTTTTATTTAATTACACAATAAATAATAATTTTTTATTTATTCATAAAAATTACATAGAATGACAAATAATAAAAAAATCTATTTTCCAACAGCCAAACCAAAATGCTACTCCCCGTAGTTTTTTAAATTTAATTTTGGCTTTTTGGGCTCAAACAGCCAACCCTTACAGCCAACCATCAAACACCTTTTTTTAGCGGTTTGACCAGTCAAATCCACTAAAATGGGTCAAAACAATCAAAAGCCATCCCAAATGCCAAAAACCAAACATGCCCTAATTAACATTTAATATGCACTGAAGATGTAGACAAATTGGCAAAAGGATAAATTTGGAAGCCTTTATTAAAATTGCTTACATACCAAAAAACTTAACACTACTTTAATTTTTACTTTTATAAAAGAGATTCAAGAAAAATGCATGTATGTAATATTCAATATTTACGTTATTCAAACTTATTAAATTCTAGTTATTGAAAATTGATCGTGCGTTATACATTCTTTACCTATAAAAGTTCTTTTATACATAATAAGAATTATATATTAAAATAAGAAAACATTATTGTGCATTTTATAATCCTATATCTTCTACCATGTCATCAAGCTCCATGTTCAGGTTGTATATACGTAGAAACTACTAGCTCCGTACATGAGTATTGTCCAGTTTTGATTTTTTCGGTCAACTGTTCTCAACTTTTCACTTATAACTAAATAAAATATATATTGTATATTAATTAGATAAAATAATATTTTGAAAATATTTGATATAATAAACCTTATAAAACTATTTTTGTATCAATATGTAATGTCATTTTTATTTAATTTGAGATCAAAGTTTAACAATTTTGACCGAAAAAGTCAAAAGTGAATAAAAACTTAGGGATGGAGGGAGTATTTATGAAGTAATTAGTTTATCTTTAATGTTGTGAAATGCAGAATATATATTAGTTTATGAAATAATAATTTAATGTGAAATGCCATAAGTTACTTAAAATAACAGAGCTGGAATATTTTATGTCAACAAATGATTGTTCTAATGCACATTTTATAAGAAATAGTTTGATGAAAATTCTTTATTGGCATTAGCATAGTTTAAGTTCAAATGCAAGGGAAATATTATTATAATGAGAGAATAGTGATTCTGAAATCTATTCCAAATATTTTTTCTATTGCATGATGAACATCGAAATGCGTGAATTATCATACTCATATATTTTTAAATTATCTCAATTTTGCTCCCTTCGTTCCATTAATTTTAAGCTTCAATTAAACAAAAACTAAAAGGATAAAAACAATTTTATTTTATTTATCTTATTTGAAACTTGTTGGGAATTAAACACGCAACACACACAAATATCTGCGAGAATCAAGAGAGAAACGGAACACAAACGACACACAAGAATTTAACGTGGTTCGGTTTCCCTAATCCACGGTTGCAACAGGAGGATTTTCTTATTTCACTTGTGGTGTCGATTACAAGTACAAGTATGCAATATATATAGGAAGAGTGCATCTAGGGTTTCGTAAAATGGGCCGGCCCAAAAGTCAAGCCCAAGCCTCCACAAACCCAACATTCTCCCACTTGGAGGCTTGATAGTCATCAACTGCCATCCACCACGATTCCCTGTACATCGAGTAATCTTCCTCAGCTCTCCTGTTGCAGCGGCCCTATCATCAGACAACTGAAAGGCCCGTTGAAGCTCTCCCAAGCTCCAACACATCAGTCACGGCAAAAACTGCCCCTGACTCGTCCTCGGTCCCTACCGGCTCCCACTGCAGATGCACACTGCCGGATCCTAGAACATCCTGAGAACAAACACTCTCCATACTTAGCAAGAAATTTTCTGGAGATGTTCTAACAGCTGGAATACTGGTTCTCCTGACCCACTGTCTTCTAGGCAACTTGGCTGAAGCGCCTCTTGAGCTCCCACTGCCACAAATACCTCTGACTAGCCCCCTTGAACCTTTCCACGCTCGTTCATCCTGAGTCTGACCTGTGGCTCTAGGTTTCTCTCTTGCATAGACAACCTTATTCTGCCCATGAGACTCTGTGAACCGGACTTTGTTTCTCTTCTGAACTGGGACGGTCACTCCCTCAGATGGTAACCCGACCATGTACAACGAACCTCTCTTCTTTCCACGGGCCATGACAAGATTTCCCTTCACGACCTTCCACTGCCCATCTCTGAACTTCACCTCGTGTCCCTGTTCGTCCAACTGCCTGACAGAAATCAAACTTTTCTTCAAGGCTGGAACAACTCTGACATCCTTCAAAGTCCAGAAACCGACTGAGGTCTTCAACACCATGTCACCCATGCCCGTCACCTCAAGAGCACTGTCGTCCGCTAGTCGTACCTTTCCAAAGCCTCTAATAACCAGATTCTGCAATGCTTCACCGCTGTGGGTGGCATGAAATGAAGCACCAGAATCCATGACCCAGGAATCCACATTGCTTTCCTCACAGCAAGTCAGAGCGACCTCCTCGTCACTCGCAGAGCCTTGAGCAATGTTTACTTTCTTATCATTCGGACATTGATTCCTAAAATGCCCTACCTCCTTGCATTTCCAGCACGTTACACCTGAGCTGTCACGAGTCTTCGACTGACTCCTTTGTCTGTTCTTGCTCCCACTACCTCTGCTATTTCTTCTGCCTCTACCAACATGAAGCAATTCACCAGATGACTCCCCCGAACTCTTTCTTCTGACATCCTCGCCAAGAACGAGATCTCGAACCTGATCAAAGGTGAATCCATCAGGTCCCACTGAACCGGTAACTGCTGTAACCGTTCCGGACCAACTATCAGGTAAAGACGATAGCAGTAGTAAAGCTTGAACTTCATCATCGAACTTAATGCCCACTGACAATAGTCTGGCTAAGATCGAATTCAACTTGTTGATATGCTCGGTAACTGAAGTGCCTTCTTTCATTTTTGTGTTCACCAGCTCTCTAATCAGAAAAATTTTATTCGCTGCAGATGGCTTCTCATACATGTTAGAGAGCGCGTCCATAATTCCCTTCGCTGTCTTCTCCTTCAGAATGTTGAACGCAACATTCTTGGTCAATGAGAGACGGATCACGGACATAGCTTTCCGATCCAAACTTGCCCAATCTGCATCCGACATTTTTTCTGGCTTGTCACCTAAAACCACGTCCAAATCTTTCTGAACCAGCAAATCTTCAATTTGCATCTTCCACCAACTGAAATCTGTACCATCGAACTTCTCAATTCGGAACTTCCCGTCTTCTGCCATATCACACGACCAAACGAGATACCCGGTACAACTAATATCAGATCTTGGTAATTTCGTCAGGAAAACAGGCCCAAGTCTCCAAATAAATCAGTCCAAATTAAAATACGCCAAACCCAAGCCACCAAAAAATAAACACCAAAGAAGACCAGCCAACAAAATTAATTCAAAGGACAAATGGGCCGACCAAACTTTCTGCCAAACCCCACCTTTTTTTTCAATTCTGCTGCAAGCTTGCAAACGGCCCAACTCCACTGCGCTAGGGCGACGCACTTCAGCAGCGGAACTAGAAGGCGGCGAGGCTCTAGATCTGCACGACGGCGACCAGGACGGCGGCGGCGACCAGGACGGTGGCGGCGATTCAGGCTGTGCTGCTCCTCCACGCGGCGGCAGCTCCTCAACGCGGCCTGACTGCTCGCGGACGGCGGATTGGCGATGGGTTTGGTTCTTCACTGGACGACGACGACGGCGCTACGAAGGGACGCTGCGGCGGCTCGCAGATGATGGCGAACAGCTGCACAGCTCTCCCCCTTCTCGAACAGGCGGGGTAGATCTGGGCGGCGCGGCCTGCTGCTCGCGAAGCCCTACCCAGCGACTGCAATGGTCGGCGGGAGACCAAGGCTGCGCGACGACGGCAACGAGGCAACCCCAAGGCTGCGGCTCTCTCCCCTGCTGCGCGACTCACTCCGGCGCGGCCCTCACAGCGGCGACTGTTCACAGATCCCAAAACCTAGGTGACAACTCACAATTTGTGCTTTCGTGTTGTACAACGAGGCTCTGATACCACTTGTTGGGAATTAAACACGCAACACACACAAATATCTGCGAGAATCAAGAGAGAAACGGAACACAAACGACACACAAGAATTTAACGTGGTTCGGTTTCCCTAATCCACGGTTGCAACAGGAGGATTTTCTTATTTCACTTGTGGTGTCGATTACAAGTACAAGTATGCAATATATATAGGAAGAGTGCATCTAGGGTTTCGTAAAATGGGCCGGGCCAAAAGTCAAGCCCAAGCCTCCACAAACCCAACAAAACTTTCAAAATTTTATTATATGGTACTAATCTTCGATACAAATTGATGAGAGTATCTAAAAATCAAAATACATTCAATTGAACAGATAAAATTAAACTAGACAAATACACTCGGACCAGGTAGTATCTCATAAGTGATAATTCAATAACTAAGATATTATTTCAAAAAGAAAATTTAGGCATGTCACATTTCACTAGATATTAAAATGGTTTTAATTAAGAAATAAATGGTTTATATTTAATGTTGTGAAATGCAGAATATAATTAGGTTATGAAATAAATAATAACTTAATGTGAAATGCCATAAGTTATAGAGCTGCAACATTTTATAAATGTCAAATGATTCTTCTAATGCAAATTTTATAAGGAAAATTTTGTTTAAAGTTCATTAACATTAGCATAGTTTATAAGTTTGAGGAAAGGTAATCTTAAACTAATTTATTGATGTGAAATTATTACATCAATTCAATTTGAGCAGCAGTATATTGAGAAAGTACAAATAATACTAAAAAAATCCTAAAACGTTTTTTTCATTTTGAACACAGGCCAAGATGCAAGTTTACTCAGTTACAAAGTATTGTGGTAGTAATAATGTTGATTTTTCTCACCATGCAATTTGAGTTGTTGCGTGGATCATCACCTCCCAATCAATGCACTCCATCATTCTGTGAGTGTTATCCAAAGTGCTATGCAAAAAACATCGAGCGATTCTATAATTTAACTCAAAATATCGAAGGATATTGTGTATTGTATTGTGATTATATGTTTAACAGTAAGTGTTATAGTTTTTCTGATTGTCCGAAACATAATATTGTGTAATGTAATGTATCTAAGTGAAAATACAAGATTATTATGAATATGTGTGTACCATTTTAAAATTGATACTTGATGTTCTTATATGAGCCAATTAATTAATTTATGATTCAAAACTAATTGGAATGGAAATGTCATCTTTCAAATCTAATTACTTAATAAACTATTTGTGCAAGCTATCAAAAGGCTGAAAATTGTTCTCTTCCCAAGCAGATTTGAAGCTAAAGTATGAGTGAGGTTGAAGAAAGGCACCCTCAATGAGTGTGCATATATCATTCCCAGATTGATATATTAAAGTAGAGTCCAATGAGAGAGTTGAATTACCAATAGCAAGACATATTATCTGAACAATTTGTTGGACACAAACACATAGATTTCTTATTGTTATGTTCCATTAGTTTGATCATGAATCTAGAACCCTATCTTCCCTTGTTAAATGACCTTAATATTTCTCCGCTATTTACTTTTTTGGTTTAAACCGACAAACTTTAAACATAAATAAAATAAAAGTGATACTCGTATTAGATATTGATATAATAATATTATTATTAGTTTCATTTTACATATTATTGCAACAAAAATATTTTAATTTAATTAATATATCATGTATATTATGTAATTATAGATCAAAAGTTAAAAATGATTGTCTCTTAAAAATCAAACTAGTATTCCACCACTCGTGCAATGCACGGGGAAATAATAACTCAAAATTAAAGGGAAGCCTCAAGCTATATTATCTACCCCCAACACATCCCTTCACGTGCTTGGGGAGTCACTAGTACAAAAATGACTTTTAAATCGGTTATTTGGACCCTTTTAAATCGGTTTCCAACCGATGCAAAAGCCAGCGATGCAAATATTCCGATACGTTTTGCATCGGTTGCTAAAACCGATGCAAAAACCCTTTACAAAAATTACCGCCAGTTCTGAAAGTTGGCTTTTTGCATCGGTTATTACTAAAAAACCGATTCAAAAATTACCGCCAGTTCTGAAAGTTGGCTTTTTGCATCGGTTATTCCAATTTAACATCGGTTATTTGGTCATTTTTGTGGTACACTAGTGTACCACAAAAAACAGTTAATATTTTAAAGTCACCAAAAATATCCATATAATTAAATGATTTAATATCATGAATAATTATATCATGTGTATAATAAAACTCTTATTATACAAAATAATACTCTGTATTTGAATATTGCAAATATAGAATAAGCATTTACTCTTTAAAAGTATTCCTCTCCAATGAAGAAATCACCGTTGTTTTGCCTTTCGAGGCGTTAATGGAGATTCTTGTTGAATAGTTGAATATGAATTTTACTCCAGGAATAAAGAAGGTTACATAAGGTATATATAGATGTGGAGATCCTAACACAACTAGGATTCCACGATTATGACAACTGCTAAATATAAGAGTTCTACCATAACTACATTACTTCTATAGTTGTCTAACATCCCCCCTCGAGCTGAACGCCGTGAAACGAGAGGAAGCTTGGATACCAGAGTGGTGTACCGCAGGCTCGGCAATGCTTTAGTGAGAAGGTCAGCAAGTTACTCTGTGGAAGGAACGTAAGAAACTGTCATATGTTCTGCAAGTACTTGTTCCCGTACAAAGTGGCAGTCCGTGCTCACAAGCTTCGTGCGTTTGTGAAAGACCGGATTTTTTGTTAAACAGATAGCTGACTGATTATCACAGTAGAGGTGCAGAGGAGGATGCCTAAGCTTCAAAATGTCAAGCAAATAGGAGAGCCACATAACTTCAGCAGCAGTCGCGGATAGGGCACGATATGTAACACCCTAATCCGTCCAGGTCTGCAGCCCCTTCCGGACTAAAGTATTAACTTGGTAATCGTAAAAATTTAAAACTTTTTCAAACACACTTTATTAATCCCAATAAATTTTCATAACATATACAGTACGAAGTATTCAACAATATTGCGGAAGCGAATTTAATTTTGACATATCATAAATCATTTCAAACTTGTCACATCCATCCCGACAATCTCGCCCCATCTGCTGCCAGGATCACAGTGTTCTTTCTGTTGTACCTGCGTGTAGCAAATAAAACACACTACACGCTCAGCGGTAAAGCTGAGTAAGCATATCTAATGCGTCGAACATCCATATAAACTGAATCTAAATTCATAATCAAATCATTTGATATCATGCACACAATGTTCATTTAAGACATTCACAGTTTTGGTATTGTTCAGTTCATATCAACACATTTTATTCAATTCAGATACTATTTCAATAGTGCTCTTAAA